ATAGCTTGCACAGCCCTGCTTGTAACACATGGCCTCAACCACATACCTCGCACCATATAGTTCACACCACATGACTTACACAGCAGACCTTACACAGCACAGCTCAATATGGCTTGCATCGCATACCTCACACCGCAAGGCTCACACACCATAGCTCACTTGCAACACACAGCCTACACAACCAATGTTTCATCTCCACGGTGCAATCACCCACTGCTTGGGATCCACACCGGCTAACATGTTTCGCGGGCAGACCCCAGACGAAGAGCGCTCCAAGATCGAGGGCCCAAACTCGAAGAACGTAGCGGCACCCCGTCGAAACTAAGGTTGGTCTGAACCCTCGCGCCAGCTGTGCCCCCCTTGGCGCCCACACGCGTGAAAAGACGTGCCAAACGCAGGCGTCTACGACGCTTCTGCGCGTCAGGAATCCCAAGCCTTCGCACCCATCCGCGCACGCGACTTCAAGCGTGAGGACTCCCCGTACCTCCAGCATCCTGGAAGACGTCAAGACGGACATGCTTCGTGATTTTCAGCCTCTGGGGGGCGCTCCCGGCTCCAGGACCTGCAGGCACGGCCTGGGACGGGGGACAGGCCCCAGGGGGCAGGGGCCCCGAGGTCCAGACAGCCTCCCTGGCGCCCACACGCTTGAAACGGCGAGCCAACGACGCGCGTGCCAGACGCATGTTGAAGACCCCCTCTGCGCACGCATTCCCGCGCGAGCAGAGTCCGACGCCTCGAAAAACAGGACCCTTTGGCCAGAGCTCTTGCTGGGAAACACACGGTGCAGGATGCGGGGTTGGCGGGAAGGAGCAAGGCAGCACAGGCACGTGCAGAAGGGCAACGTTCGCCGAAGTCTCCTTCTGACCTCTTTCTCGAATCTCTTCTGCCGCTTGTGGATGATCTTCGTGATGAATATCTGCCAGAGGCGCTGCAATAAAGGAGGAGGAAGAGGTGGAAAGGAAGAGTGAAGAGGAGGCCGACGCGCAATGAACGACTGGAGGGAAGGGTGAAAGGAAGAGAAGGAGAACGACGAGAAGGATGACGATACATATGATAATGCACTTGAGGAGAAGAAGGGGGATGAGGAGCAGAAGGAGGGAAACGACGACCTTGTGGCTGTGGAATACAAGACAGGTGGAATCCAGGGTGCCTTGCGCGAAGGGAACAAGGAGAGCAGCACGAACAGCATACAGTACGCTGACCAAAGGAATCACGCCAGCGGAGCAGGCCAGTCCAAGATGGCTTTCCAAATCCACGGCGGCCAGCACGGGTGGAACACGCCAGGACATGGGCGCAGACGCAGCAGAGGATACGAGGCCGAAGTGTGTGTGTGTATATGTGTGTATGAGAGAAATCAATCGTGGCGCAACCCCACATTTGGAAATGCGGCTCCGGATGCCGTGTCCGCATCAGGACGTGTTGTAACTGCCGACGCACCAGCGCACGGCTTTTTTTTCCACGCGACCACATCCATTTCGCCACCAGGAGCCCAGAAAGCCGGGCCAACGCTAGGTCGGGCCTGTCCCCCTACGGGAGGATTTTGAGCGACAACTTGAAAAACTAGAGAAACGCCCCCCGAATGCTCAGCAACAGCCCAAAACATCGTCCCCCGACAGTTTTTCTAGTCTTTGCGAGTGCTCCTCCTTGCGAGGGGCACGCCCGCTTGAAGCCACCGCGCGGCGCGGCCACGAGGCGGCGGCGGGCTCAGCAGCCCCGCACGCCCAGCCGGCGCACGGCGCGGCGACGGGCCGCCGCGGGGCGCAGAGCCGGCAAACACATCCCGGCAGCGAGTGGGGCGGCGCGGAGGCGGCGACGAGCGGCCGCCGGGCGAAAAAGCACGAGGCGGGCAGGCCTCGCGCGGGCGTCGGCGACGAGGCGGCGACGAGGCGGCCACGGACGAACGAACGTCAGCCTTGCGCCGGAGGGCGCGCGAGCAGGGCGAGACAGGAGATGGTTAGTGAGCAGGGTGAGCAGGGTGAGACAGGGTGAGGGTGAACAGGGCGACGAGGCGACGGCGGGGGCGAAAACCGGAAAGACCCAGCCAGGAACACGCGGCGACCAGCAGCGACCAAGCGAAAACGCGGAAGATCCAGCCAATTGCTCAGGAGACTTTTTTGAACGCCTCAGTGCAGCCGACTGGGGAAGAAGTCGGTGACACTGGATTGTCACTGCGAAGGGCACGTACTTGTAAAACAAAGCGTGCAACGCGTGAGCTGTGTGTATGACCTTCTGCCATCTTCTGCCCACCACATCATGTTCTGCCCAACGCTGGCAACATCGCATCAATCATCCCGTAGTCCAAAAACAACAATGCATAAATAATCACCGGCCGGTCCACTTTGACATAAGACTCGCCCTCTAGCATCTGCAATTCGACTACACATCAACTCTTGAAGGACTCGGGTTGCGAACGGACGTGCCATTACTTCTAAACGTTTGCTGCATTCGGGGGTAATGCAATCACCGCTTCTCAAAACAAAGAATGCATCGCTTGAGGATGGCTGCTGATGATTCTTGAGCGTCCACCGGGAAGCCTGGAACATGAATGGCTGCATTCGCATGTAAAATTAACCGAGCAAAGGACCCAACCATATGCAGTTGTGAGCACACAGGTTGTATGCACGGCATTCGGAGGAGCTCCCTACAGCCACGGAACGTGTGAAGGGTGTGCAAAGATGGGTACGGTGGGCCGAACGCAGCCACTGGGGCCGTCGGTGGAGCACCCTATAGGGCCACGAAGCGTGTGAGAGGTGTGCCAGAAAGGGTGCGGTGGGCGCATGTGAACGCAGCCACTAGGACCGTCGGTGGAGCCCCCAATGAGGCCACGAAATCTGTGAGGGCTGTGCCAACATGGGTGCGGTGGGCGCATGCGAGCGCAGGCACTGGGGCCGTCGGTGGAGCTCCCAATGGGGAAACGAAACGTGTGAAGGGTGTGGCAAAATGGGTGCGGTGGGCGCATGCGAACGCAGCCATTAGGACCGTCGGTGGAACTCCCTATTTGGCCGCGAGCCGTGTGAAGGGTGTGGCAAAATGGGTGCGGTGGGCGCATGCGAACGCAGCCACTGGGGCCGTCGGTGGAGCTTCCTATGGGGCCACGAAGAGTGTGAGGGGTGTGCCAGAATGGGTGCGGTGGGCGCATGCGAACGCAGCCACTAGGACCGTCGGTGGAGCCCCCAATGAAACCACGAAATATGTGAGGGTTATGCCAACATGGGTGCGGTGGGCGCATGCGAGCGCAGCCAGTGGGGCAGTCGGCGGAGCTCCCGATGGGGCTACGAAACGCGTGAGGGGTGTACCACAATGGGTGCGGCTGGCGCATGCGAGCGTAGGAATGTGGGCCTTCGGTGGAGCTCCCAATGGGGCGACGAAACGTGTGAGGGGTATGCTAAACAGAAGCATGCGGATCTGAGAAGCAAAGATGGGAGGAAAGGGACGGGGTGCGCTCTCCTCAAAACGAGGACCCAACACCACAGGATGGTTGGGAAAGACGGAGGGCACGCGCTGAGAACACTTGCGGAGACCTGGCGCGCCCGGCCATACGAGGGCCGAACACCACAACAGCGCGCGGCCACACGTGCACTCCGCTGTCGCCCAGACCGGCCACGCCACGTGCATCCTGTCTGCTGGCACGCGAGCCAGCACTGTCCCGAGGGCACCAGAAAAGCGACAGCACGATAACGAGCCAGCCAACTCACTCCCGCCCTCCCGGTGCGAGCGCGGTGCTCGCGCGCGCGCGCGAAAAAGAGCGCCAAGTTCTGCACGTCCAGGCTCGAGGCGGAGCCCTGCGCGGGCGCGCCCTCCCCGAAGCGCCGAGTCTCGGCAGCAGCGCAAGGGTGAAGGATGCCTCCCGAACGGGGCTCGCGGCCAAACCGCCGCTTCGCGTGGCGGGCCCCGTTCTCGTGACAGGGCCCTGGCCTCCCCCGAGCACGCGGGCAGAGCACCGAAGCAGTGCCCCGGGGGGTGGGCAGGAGGGGTCGGTCTGAAGCTGGGCCGTCGCCCCTGGAGGGATCCGATCAGATTTGCAAGCTGCGCGTTGGTCCCATGCTCTGCTTCCGCGCCTCAAGTCAGCAGACGTCGATGTAGTGTGAAGCCCATTGCTGCGTTCCCCTGCGCTCCAAATGTCTGCCAACATGCAACGGTAATGGGAAGAAGTGTCTGCATGATCCGATGCAACCCTGACCCAAAACCAAGCGGCGCCTCCTCACACGGGTTCTGGGGAATCCGACGAATCCCCTTCGTCAGAGCGATTAAATCACCAATACGGCCCCGCAGGGCCAAAGTAGACCGCACGACGTCTACACGGCTCAAGATGCCCCCAGCGGAACTCCAAAATTCCACCCGAGGCCCCCCAGACAGACGCTGGCAACAGCTCCCAAGACGCCTCCTGCAAGCCCAAGGAAACCCGTCGGACCCCAGCGCCACAACACCCAGACACATGCTCACATTCAATCATGAGCGAATGAAGCTAGGCGGATCAAATACTGATGAGCTCTGAACGGGCGAATGTGAAAGCCCAGCGTCAAACACACGGGCTTAGACCTCCCACCAGACGGCATCCTGCCCCTGCCAGTGTAAGATGATTGCGTGCCAGTTGATCACGGAACCCTCGGAACGCCGAATGTACACCCGACGGCCCCTGCAGCCACCCCCTTCCTGGCGACCACTCCACCTGGCGAGCTCCCGCCGCAGCCTGCCGAGGCCTCCCCCGCGCGCCCGCCGCTGCACCGTCCGTGCTCGTGCCCTCGCCGCGGGCGGCTTGCCTCCCGCCCCCTGGCCCAGCCCGCCTGCCTGCGGCTGCCAGATTCCCATGACCTCCTTGTCTTCCGCCTCCACCACTTTCCCTTCGACAAACGCCCCCTCCCTGGCGCACCCCCCGACGTGTCGGTCGGCCAGGCCAGGCGCTTCGCCAAAGACTTCCTCGCACTGAAAGCTTGGAACCTGCACGTGCTTCGAGAACGGATGGAGCGCCGTTCTCAAAGTGTGGCTATCGTTTTTGTTTTGAAATGCCGCGCACATTGGTCTTTACAAGCTGCACCAGCCCCATGGATGGAGCACACGTCGGTTTCAAAACGTTGCTATCGCTCCAGCACCGAGCACATTCGTCGTAAGAAACTGCGGCAATGCCATGGATGGAGCACATGTTTTTTTGAACACATGGCTCTCGCTGTAGCGCCGCGCACATCCGTCTCAACGAATTGCAGCAGTTCCCCAAACAGTGCTTGCACTTAGGGGTTCATATTTCCTTTCTAATGAACTGGGCCCGTCTCTGTTGGACTGGCGGCCCTGTTCCCGTCCGTCGCCGCCCTCTTCTTCCTAATAAAGAACCCGCCGAGTGGCCAGGCGGCCCCGTTCCCGTCCGTCGCCGCCGCCTCGTTGCAGCCGCCGCCCCCGTTGCACCCCCCCACCCTTCGCACCGCAAGCTTTGCATTGCACTGTTTTGCTTTTGCTTTGCTTTTGCTTTGCGTTTGCTTTGTTTTTGCCTTGCTGTTGCTTTGCACGACATTGCATCGCATTGCACTGTTTAGAATCGCATTGCGTTGCTTTGGACCGCTTGTCGCTGCGTTGCTTTACTTTGCTTTGCATTGTTTTTTGCATGGCATTGCGTTGCTTTGCGCCATGTAGATTGCACCGCATGGATTGCGCCACATAGAATCCACCACATGAATTGCACACGTAGGTAACACCGCATAGACGATTGCAAGAAATCACTGTTTGGGGTCAACGCTGGCTAGAACAGAGGTCGTTTTCAGAAGGCGGCTCTCGCCTTGGCGCAGCGCGCACGCGTCTTGACAAATTGCAGCAGCGTCAAAGAATCGTAAGGCTGAAATCCCAAGAACGGTGTTCTGGCATGATAGGTTTGTCAGGACGCAGCCGTCACATTCATACGCGGCGTGAACATGCGTGGAGTTGCTCTGGGACGGCTTACTTGTCAGGACGCAGCAATTTTGTTGGTTCGCGGCGTTAACGTCCCAAGATCACACGATTGAGGATTATCATGCGGCTGTTTTTCGACTTAGTATTCGGGCTGGGCCTCAGGATTTTGAATATTGGGGGGGCAGGCTGACTGCAACATCGTTGGTGGGTCTTGGATCTATACTGGACCTCCTCCTCCTCCTCCTCCTCCTCCTCCTTCGCCTCCCTTGCTCCCTGCTTGCTGTCTTCCCTCTGCCCCTCCCAGCCGGCCAGACCACCTCCCTCCTCCCACCAGCCCTCACCCACCGACTGAGGGCTCCTACTTCGCTTCCTCCCTCTCCGCCGCCGTGCAGCACAGACCGCCCAGAGCTGGGGCGGCGCGGGTACATCCCACGGGCCCCGCGCTTTCAGGGTGGCCTCCTGCATTCATCCCTCCAGCGGGCCCCACGAGAGCACCGATGACGGCCCGAGGTGGTTGCAGAGCCTCCCGGGAAGCCTCCCTGCCCCCCTCTCTGACTCCGGATCCGCCGTACTTTGGTTGATCATCCGCCTTGCACTTGTGTCGGAAATGCGCCCCAAAAGATGCGGAAAAGTATGGCGGAAATTTCCGCCTCAGAAAAATACGGCGGACATGTCAGCAGAAGCATGCCGGAAACAGCGACGGCAGAGCGGGGCGGAGAGGTCGACTTCAGAGGAGCTTGAAACGCAGTGCGGGGATTCCCGCCCTACTTGCGAAATCACCCAAAGCACGGCGGATCTGGAGTCAGGGGCTCCCTCTCTGGACCAGAGGCCTCCGAGGTGGGGTCCGAGTAGATGGGGTCGAAGGATCGCGCCGCCTCCTCCGCCTCCTCCGCCTCCTCCGCCTCCTCCTCCTCCTTTTCCTCCTCCTCCTCCTCCTCCGCCTCGCCAATGCATCGCCGATGTATCGGCGATACATCGGCGACGTCGGCGACGCGTCGGCGACGTCGGTGTGGAGAAGCTCGGGCCTCACATCGAGCCGCATCGCCGATGCATCGGCGATGCGGCGGGATCCTCCGACCCCATCTACTCCGAGGGAGGCCTACAAGCCTTGTCAGAAATGGGTTGAAGCGCTGTTCAAAGCCGAAACGCTCGATTATTCGGGCACTTGTCAGAAAACGCGTTCTTCTATGCTGTGAGGGTCCTGACGTATTTCGGATACCCCTGCGTCTGGGCCGAATACCTCATGCCAGCATTGCAGCAGCGCCGACCACGCAGGCGCCGAAAACATAAACCGTCAATCTATGTTTGACGAGTCTTGCAGAAGGGTTCCCTCTCTGGACGGCCTTCATCCTGCATCCGCACGGACCTCCTGCATCCGCGCCGGACCCCCCTCCCTGGCGCGCGGAGGCGCCGCCAGGGGCACCGCCGGAGGCGCCGCCAGGGGGGCCCAGCGCAGATCCGAGAAATCCGCGCGCAGCGCCAGAAGTTTATGCTTATGGCGTTTTTTTTCTTCTTCGACTACAGTCATCGGCCTGACCTAAGGAACGATAAATAAGGAGCGAAGCCCCTGTTTCGCCAGGGAATACCGCATAAGGAACTATAAATAATACAGAACGCACAAGGAGCGATAAATAACGCATGTAGGCCTCAGGAGCGTCCGAGCCCCTGCTGAAAAGTACGTGCTCCTTATTCAAATCGCTCACTGTAGAAGGGTTCCCTCTCGGGGATCTTCTGACCAGGGTCAATCCAGACCAGGGTCAGCCAGGCCTTGCAGAATCCTGCAAGATCCTGCACCCAAGCCCGGGCAAACGCGAAGGCTCCTGCAGGACGCTGCAGGATCCTGCACCCAAGCCCGGGCCCATGCGACCCTGGCCCTGCAGGCTCCTGCTAGATCGGGCGCTCTGGCTGACCCCCGTTTGCATCGACCCCGGGGGTCGATGAGAAATTCCGAACTCGCGCCATATGTCGCCCACGCACTGTGGGAGGCCGGGATTCGGGACAGAGACGCACACCAGGGCCGGCGCACGGGCGACGCTCGGGCGACGCACTGAACGAAACTCAAGGGGGGGGGGGGGGGGGTCGCATGACTGGGCCTTAACACAACCCCGTTTCAGGGCTCCCGACCCTCTCTGGACGGCCTTCATCCGCATGCAGCCCTGGACGATGGACTCGATGTCCACCTGGGGCCGCCCGGGGGCCGCCCGAGGGCAGCCCAGGGCCAGGGGCGCCGCCCCCCTTGGGGCCGCGCGCCGCGGCGGCTCTGCGGGTCCCCCCTCTCGACGGGTGGAGGCGGGGGGGGGAGGGAGGGGAGGGGAGGGGGGGGAAGGGAGAGAGGGAGGGAGGGGAGGGGAGGGGAGGGGAGGGAGGGGAGGGGAGGGGAGGGAGAGAGAGAGAGGGAGGGGGGGGAGGGAGGGAGAGAGGTAGGGGAGGGAAACGGGGAGGAAGGCAGGGAGACGGGCGGGGGAGGGAGGCAGGGGAGGGAGGGGAGGGGAGGCAAGCTAGGTGCGCTCGCGTCATATCTGACGTCCTACCCCTCCTTTCCATCCTTTACCATGGCGTAGATATCCTCTCCATTCGCACAGTCGGATGTCGATCAGGGCAATGACCGCGAGAGGGTCGGCGAATGTACGCGATGCATGGTAGAGCACGACATGGCATGGCGTAGAAGAGCACGGCAGAGCGTAACATGCCATAGCATGGCGTGGCATTGCGCACTGAAGCATTGCATCGCAAAGCATTGCAAGGCAAAGCATGGCATCGCACAGCGGCGCAGACCACAACAACACCGCAAAGCATGTTATGGTATGGCGCCAGGTTCTTTGGAGGGTAAGTGGATCGTCTTCGAGAGGTCTGGGCCTGTCTGGAGTCGTGGCTCCATGTCTAGATCCTCGGGCTCCCGAACACCTCCACACAAGGCGGGGCTGATGGAGCACCCGCTGGTTCTGCTTCCAATATCGCTTTCTCAAAGCAGAAACGGGGCTCCCGCTGATACTTTCTGAGATGAGAAAAACGACGACGCCCCCAAAAATCAACGAATCGACACCGACTGTGGAATTACTTCCGATGGTTTTTGTCGGGGGACATTTTCCAGATTTTGGCGCCTATTTGGAAGGAAGGCCAGCGCTGCAGCGGGAGCACGATTCGGAACGAGCGGAAGCGCGGAAATGAGGCCAGCGCTGCAGCGGGAGCACGATTCGGAACGAGCGGAAGCCCGAAAATGAGGCCAGCGCTTCAGCGGGAACAGCTGTTTGAAAAACACCAAGGGAAAACCCAATTCCCGGGAATCCTGTGTGCGAAAAAAACAATACGCGGAGGGGGGCCGGATATCTTCCGGACGTCATCAGCGGAGAGAGGAGAGTAGTTTCCATATTGTGTAATTGCGGAGGCGATAGGGGGAGACGGGGAGGGAAGGTCGGGAAGCGGGGAGACGGGAGGGGGAGGGAAGTGGGGTCGAGAACAAGGGGGCGACTCAGGGGGGAGGGAAAGCCTTTCCTCCGATGGGCTCCCCGAATGCCTGCTCAGACCCACCTCGCATCTCAGCAGCTAGGGAACTGCGTACCGTGTATCGGCGGCGAGCGAGGGGGGGAAGTGAGAAGGAGCAGGCCTTCTCAGAAGGCGGCGGGACTTCTCAGAAGCCCTCGAGTTTTCTGACAAGTGTTCTGCGTCTTCGGGGGAGGTCCAAAAAACTTCTCAGACGGCCTGGGGACTTCCGAGTCTTCTGAGAAGGCCTTCTCCTTCTACTTCCCCCCCGGGCTCGCCGCCGAATATCAGGCGACAGTCCCTTGCTGAGCCTTCTCTAATTGGACCTCCCAGCGGCCGACATGGGAGGACATGGCTCAGCAAGCTCCACGGGGGACGCTGATGCAATCGCTGCTGTAGCTTCTGCAATAAAGCACTCCCCTGCATCCTCCTCCTCCTCCTCCTCCTCATCCTCCTCCTCCTCCTCCTCCTCCTCCTCCCTCCAGAACTGAACAACTGTAACTTTCTGTTTTGGGATCTGTGTTCGGGGACGCTCTTCGGTCGTTTCGTCACCTCTTGAATGCTCGGCTCAGGACCCGAGGCCGAACATCCATTACAATAGTAAGGGATGCGCGCTCCCAGAGCCGCGAATCTCGTCTTGTACCACAGAAGCGCGCCCGCGAGACCACAATGTCATGCCACTTGCGACAGATGCACACAACCAGCCAGCCAGTAACCAGCCAACACCAACTGCCAACATATATTCAGACATCAATCAGCCGAGTTGCCAGCCAGCCAACCGACAAGCCAACACATGAACTAACCGAACTAGCGTAGCCATTCAAGCAGTCGGGGGGGACGGCGGTAGGGAGCGAAGCCCTGCATATAATGTAGCGAGGAGGACGAAGAACAAGACTAGAGACAAGAGCAGAGGGTAGATGAGAGGAACGGAGCAGGGAGTAATAAGAGAACTATTCGGCGGAAGAGGAGTAGGAACATGAGGTAAACGGAGGGTAACGAGATGGGGCAGGATCGGGACGGATACAAGAAGGGAGGGATGGAAAGGGTGGAGGTGAGAGAAAAGATGAGTGGATGAGGGGAGGACTCCGGGAGGAAGGAGGAAGATAAGGACGAGAAGGGGAAGATGAGGAGAATCATTCCTAAATTTGCTGATCGTACTCAAAGGAGGGGGTGTCGAAATGTATCATAGAAGCGTGTAGCACACATGCACACACATACGCACACGCACACGCACACGCACACGCACACGCAGACAGACAGACACACACACGTACACACAAACACACACACACACGCACACGCACACGCACACACAAACACACATTCACGCACACACACACACCCATTCACACACGCACGCGCACACGCACACGCACACGCACACGAACCCCCCCACACCACACAGACACACACACACACACACATTTTCCGGTCGCACGCAGCTGGGCCAGAGGCCACTCGAGCGCTCCAAGGAGTCAAAGGCAGGCTAAGCGAGTTTGCCAAGGGTCGACCCTGGAAGGTAGTCGGAGGGCGAGACAATCGCAGACACACAGCATCACATCACCCAGAAGGGGGCAGGGAGAAAGAAGAGGAGAACGAAAAAGAGGGGTAAAGGAGCGGGGATGATGAGGAAAGAGAGGGAGGGAAGCGATCAGAAAAGAAGGGAAGAAGGAGGGGGAGTGCGAAGGAGTGAGAACAGGAGAGAGGACAGAGGAGAGGGAAAGAACCGAGCACGAGGAGAATGAGAAATGAGGAGGAGGAGGAAGAGGAGGAGGAGGAGGAGGGGGGGGGGAGATGGCTCCCAAACCCATCCCACCGCTGCTTCCCCTCTTTTGGGCTGGCCCCTGAACGATGCACATGGACGTGCGACGAGTCTGGGGGAACGAGAAGACATCGATACCGCATCGCCAGCCCTCCAGGGGTGCGTTCCGAATATTTCTACGGTGTACTACGCACTAAGATGGCCGGGGATACGAGAAAAAGGTAGCGGTAATGTTAGTCCGAGAATTGGAACAACACGTAGGGGCCAAGCATGCTAAATGCTTGAGCGGCCCAAGATCGCCGGACCCACGTCTCTCGACATCACGCAAATCATAGCATTGAGCATCCAATATAAACTGAAACGACGCGGCTCCATAGCTGCCGCAGTTGCACGGGAAGAATCATACATGTCTCCCCGCTTTATCATTCCAGGGCTAGCGTTACCGGCAGCTGTTCCTCCTTCTGGGACTCCTCCACCTTGCTTCTGCAGCCCACTGCCCCCTCCCCTCCCCCGCGTGCGAAGCGTTGGGGCGACGCCTCCTGGCCCTCGCTGCTGGCCGCGAGCATGTTCAAAAACAGCTCGGCGTCCTCGGCTGCGGCCCCCACTAGTATACAACACCACCACCTCCATCCCCCCTCCCTCCTCCGTCCTCATCTCCCTCTCTCTTTTCCTGGGAGTGGGAGGGGACGATGGAGGTGGTGGTGGTGTACACCTCTTTGGGCCCCGCATCGACGGCGGGGAGGTGCTGCGGGGCTCCCCGAAGGCGCCTCGCGCAAGCTGCTGCTGCTGCTGCTGCCGCTGTGTCCCCTGCTCGCCATCGCTCGGACGTCCATTCCCTGTGTTTTTTTTCGGTTTCGTGCGTGGTTTTTTCGCCAAATGATCAAGGATGCTCCTCGATGGCCCTCGCCGAAGGAAAAATGCACACGTCCGAGCGATGCCAGGCCTGATGTATCCATGGATCTGTGGTGAGCCCTGGGCGCTCCGCAAAAAGGCTAAACATTCAGGTCCCGGTCGGATCGAAGTGGTGGGCGTTTTTGGCATGCTGCTCACAGTAAAGTCGGTCCTCGCAAAGAGAAGAATTCTGAACGGCTTTAGCCATCGAAATGAAAATCTGCAAAGAATCCAATCGATCCTCGAACCTCGAGAACTCGAGAAACTATCCTCTTGGTGCGCCTCTCCCTGGGATGCCAGCGAACGGGGAGGAGGAGGAGGAGGAGGAGGAGGAGGAGGAGGAGGAGGAGTCACTCCCCTCCTCATCCCCCCTCGACCCTCGCTCCGGCACGCCTCCTCCTGGGACCCCCGCGCCCTTGGGCGCCAACCCCGGCGGGAGGCGGAGGGGGAGGTCCTTGATGTGGAGCCCGAGCAGGGACAAGTGGGCCCGGACCTGCGCGGCGGGGTCCGCACCCCTCGGAGGGGGAAGCTCCCCCTCTCCCGACCACTGCGAGCGCGACGGATCGCAACCGCGAGGGACCGGTCGGCGACCCGAAGGGATCGGTGACAGTCAGACATGAAGCGTCAGACGCCTAAGACTCATGTTGCTCCCATCGTACCTGAGGGCCACATCCTGGAAATACTTCCGATCACCCAGAGAGAAGCAACGAGAAGGTGTCGAACGAGTATCGCAACCCAGGGCCCGACACGCGAAAACCCTCAAGTTTCGGTACCTTCTTGGTGCTCGAAATTCTTTCTGGTGATCAACGCTGAAGTAGGTTGGAACATGATAACATAAGATGGCGTCCATGGCCTAACAATAATCAGTTCCACTTATGGCGCATGTGGCAGGGTAGCGCAGAATCGAATGGATCAGCGACAAGGTTATTATTGCGCTGGTGGTTGTCAATGTGTGAGCGTATCCACTCTACCGTTGAACGACCTTACGCGTAACAAGCGCACGCATCTATATTGTATGCTACTGTGCCACGCCACTGACAACAAGCTTCACCACAACCGTGCCATTCCATTACAACTGTAGTAAGGGGCTGAAGCTGGGCACGCCGTGCCAAGAATTAGCTGCTTCCGCGAGTGTCTGAACAACATTCCGCTAAAAACTGCCACGAGGGCACCGAATGGCTTCAGAACTAAGGGACTTAGTGCCGTCTCGACTGCCGTGCCGACTGCAGAACCGACTAACTACCGTATCGAACATACGGCGGTCAGAATGCCGATGCCAGCAGGATGATGGAAACTCGTTTGCCCCTTGTTAACTGAAATTGGCACCGCCTATGCAGAGGACAAGTGGAAATGAGATAGAAGGAAAGAACAAAAATATTGAGGGTAAGAAATCGGAATCAACGTGCGCGTTACGAGCAAACACTTGGACACGAAAGCCTCCCATCCGCTTTCCTAGACTAGATCGCCCATTGCACGAATCGTTCCCGTCCGGTTTCAATCGCGGCCTCGCTTCATTCAAAGCGCAGGTGGCTCATCTGCTGATCGTGGCACTACCCTTCCCGCGCACAACGCGCTACCTGACACGCGTACGTGCCACCGACGCCCCGCTGTCGCCCCTGAGATGCAAAATAGAAGATTTGCCATCGCTCGGACGTCCATTCCCCGTGCATGTGTCGGTTTCGTGTGTGCTTGTGTTGCCAGATGATCCAGGATTAGACGAAGAAACAACTGCATGAAGATAAACTGTTGGCGCACCGCGCGGATTTCTTGGATCTGCGCTGGACCCTCCTCCCTGGCGCGCGGAGCGCGCCAGGAGCGGCGCCAGAGACGCCGCCAGGGCGCTCCAGCGCAGATCCAAGAAACCCGCGCGGAGCGCCATTTTTTTGTATGGTTAATGCGTTTTTCTTCTTCGAAGGATGCTCCTCGATCTTCCTCGCCGAGAGAAGTGCACACGTCCGAGCGATGCCGAGAGAAGACGACACAGGAACTCATGGCGCCTGCCGACTGAAAGCTGGCCGCACCAGGCCGGCGCTCCGCCGCCGCCGCCGCCCGTCCACACAGGAAGGTCTACGCCGGTGGCGCCTGGGAGATCCGGCAATCGCGAGCACGCTTACATACAGGCCTCGGAAAAAATAGCGAACACTCATGCCACCTTCATCTGTGAACGCCTCCCCCTCCCCCCAATGTTCAAGGTTGGCGGTGGGTCTGATGAGTTGCACCTCGACCGCAGTCTCCCCCGCGCGTGCCAACTTTGAGTTTGGGGGGCAGGGGGGGTGCTCACTAATTGCTTCCCTCTACCGCAGATTGGGGATCCGTCCGCGGATCTGGCGCGTGGGCGCCAGATCCACGGATCGGGGAACGCCTCATTTGGCGACGCGGCGCGCCGATGAAGCACGAACGCGGGCCCGTCGCCAATCCGCGTGCCCTGATCCATGCTTTCACGTCCCTGGGGGGGAGACTGCGAGGGTGCGCTTCGCGGTGCGGGTCCGGACGGTAGGGGGAACAAAATCAGTGGGCACTCCCCCGCACCCCACAACTCGAAGCTGGCGCGCGCGGGGAAGACTGCGGTCGAAGTGCAGCATGGGGGGGGGGCAGGTGGATGTGGAATGAGCGTTCGCTAGTTTCTTCCGAGGCCTGGATCTCCACGCTCGCAAATGCGCTGTCAGCCCTGGTCGAGATAGCTCCAATCCGTATGCTTCTCACCGCCCCGCGTGACCCAGACACAGCGACCGCGCTGCGTAGTTCTGGAGCACGCAGCGGCGGCCAGGAACCCTTGCGATGCAAAACCTGGCCGGCGGCCCCGCCTGGGTCGGCGCCGCTGCGCAGGTGCTGAGCCTCAGCGTCCCCGTCGCAGGGGTCGCTCCAGGCCTCGGAGCGCCCGAAGCAGGGGAAACCGACTCCGATGCCCGCGGGCGCTGCGAAACGCTCCGTGCAGTCCCGGTCCAGGGCGAATCGCCGCTGGCCGCCGCCCTCGGCGTTCGCTTCGGGCGCCGCGAGGTCCGCCGCGAGCTGCCACGGGGGGGCCGCTTCTCCCCGAGGCGGCACGGCGAAGCCGAGGCAGCCGTGCCCAGAGCTCCGCGGCTCGGCAAAACCGCTTCGAGGAGCTCCCCCCAGCCGCCGCGCAACCTTGAAGGGGCCCTGGGACACACGAATGGATAGGCACAAATAACCGGATTCCCCACATTTTCCCATATTTTCGGGGTGTTTGTCTTCCGCTCACACTCCCCATATTTTCCAATATTCTCGAGGGACTCGACGATTCATTGTGTCCGTGTGTTTTTTCCCTCCTGAAGCCTTCCGGTCCTGGAGCTCCGTCGCGAGGTTCTGCAGCACCCGTGGCTGCAGGTGCAGGGCGGAGGCCACGCCGAGCTGCGCCAGCAGGAGCGCCGCTCAGGAGCGGGCCAGGAGAGGAGGCACGAGCGCGGCGACGGGGAAGCCCGGGGCAGACAGCGCAGCAACGAGCACAGCCAAGCCAGCGCGCAGCACGCCAGGATCGGGGAGCCAATGCAGTGGAGGCCAGTCCACAAGAAACCTTCCGCAAGAAACCCTACCCCGAGACCCGAGGACGTCCACTGATTTGGGGTGTGGGGACGTCACGCTTCCCATGGCAAAACCATCGAAACCCAAAAAACCCAGGGCCCCCTGGAGGCAAGCAGGGTGTCCACTGTAGCGCGCTCGTGTGCAGAAGCACAGCCAACCTGGCGCACCTGAAATACCGCAGGGCACGGCTCCGTTCAAACTGTTCCTGTGCAAAGCTTCTGCTCCCCAGGGGTGCCAGCACGACGGCGCCCCTCCTCCTCCACTTCCATCCCTAGATTTCGCAGACTCGCGTCGTAGAGTTCCCAGGCCAACTCTGGAGCGTATGGGGAGTGCATACCAAGCGGGGGCCAAAAAATACAATCGCCGGGAGGGTTCATCCCGCATCGCACGCCAGGTTCTGGGTCGCAATGTGCTGGCACCTGCGTGATGCTTCGTCTTGCGGCGGCGGTGCCAGAGGCAGAGTCGCGCTGCCTCTCAGAAGCAACTCTTTCCCTCTCCTTCGCAGACGAACCTCTAGGCTCTACTCCACTTGCTCGTTGCCCCGACGGAGTCTTCGGGGAAGACACCACGCTCTCTGTGAGAAAACCTGCGAACCAATCCCGGGCCACCTTCCCAGTATCTGAGGCCTCGCCGTCGGCCACGGAGTCAGGCAGCGTCCGCCCGAACCCAGCAGCGGTAAATCTGTCTGGCCAGGCTTTCACGCCTTCTCAACGCACTCACTGGCGCCGCAGCTGCTCCGCGGCCCGCGCCAACGTCCCCTCCGTCTCCGTGCCCCCGACCGCTGCCTGCCGCCAGCGCCGCCCAAGGTATCTGTCGTCCCCTGGCTCGCGATCGCTCGGACGTCCCTTCCCCGTCCATGTTTCGACCTCGTGCGTTCATTTCTGTTGCGCGATGATCGCAGATGCTCCTCGTGTCTTCCTCCTCCTCCTCCTCATCATCATCATCACCATCACCATCACCCTCATCATCATCCTCATCCTCCTCCTCCTCCTCCTCCTCCTCATCATCATCATCATCATCATCATCATCATCATCCTCATCCTCATCCTCATCATCATCGTCAACGTCATCATCATCAGCATCAGGATCATCATCATCATCATCATCATCATCATCATCATCATCATCATCATCATCATCATCATCATCATCATCATCATCATCGTCATCATCATCAGCATCATAATCAGCATCAGCATCATCATCATCATCGTCATCATCATCATCACCCTCCTCCTCCTCCTCCTCCTCCTCCTCCTCATCATCATCATCATCACCATCACCATCACCATCACCATCACCCTCATCCTCATCCTCATCCTCATCATCCTCATCCTCCTCCTCCTCCTCCTCCTCATCATCATCATCATCACCATCATCCACCTCCCCCCTCCAACTCATGGTGATGGTGGTGGAAGAAAAGGCCCATCATGACGCGCGCGTGTAGTTAGAGCTCTGGCATAAACCGCGGCCCGGCCGTCGGGGAGCTCGGCAAGACCGCCTCCGAGCCACCCCGGCGCGTCGTACGACCCGCACGCCTCCGATACGCCCCCTGAGATCCCGAAGCTCAGCGATCTGGCCACTGAGCGTCTCCACGGAGACTGAGGAATACCGAAATCCATCAGTTCAGTAATCCTCGCCTCCCCAGTCGCCATGGAGACGCTCAGGGGCTAGATCACTGAGCTGAAGGATCTCAGGGGGCGTATCCAAGGGAATCAGAAGGCCCCGCCAGAGTTGGGTCACGGCGTAGGAGGACTCCTGAATGTCGAGTCGCGGCCAACTCGACATCGGAGGACCTGTGCGCTGATCCCACCATTCACGCGGGCCAGGACTGGTGTACGACCAAGCGTCTGGGGTGGTGGACTTCATGTGGGTGACCTTCAACCAGGCTTGGTCACGCTCGCTTTGAACTCAAACTAGGAGGTGGTCGTACAGCACAGTCCCGAACGGCAA